AAAGGAAACTGGATAATAAACTAGGGGTTAAAGGACTTTAAAAACCATCCAGTATTTAGAGGAATATTGGCTATGATTGCCAGGTAGCATTATAATGAAGAAAACAGAACAATGTTACTTTGCCATTTACTAACTTCCGCAAAAGAATATCCATTCCTGGAATGGGTGTAGGTTTGAGTGTTGGTCCCAACAAATATCTGGGAAGAAGAAATGGTAGGAGGGAATTTAAACAACCCTTGGAGGTTGCAAAAGCAGTATCTTTATAGATGTTCTTTCCCCCATACATATTTCTAACCTCCCTTTCTACCTTCTCCCCTTCCCCCATAATATAGCTAACTACAACCTAGTCCATGGGTGATGGGCTTTTAAACTGTGTTTCCCTAACCTTATCTGAACACTACGATCACTTCTTTTGTGTATGCCACCCTAGCACTGGATCACTGTGATCCTCACAGGTTTATCGACCTGACTTTATAAAGCCAGCAGCCTAGAGGCGGGTATTGACTCTTAGGTGCCATGTATGTATGTAATAAAGGCAGCAACCTCTAAATGGACAGTGGTACTTGGGCCATCACCTTGTAATCCTAGGAATCCTGGGAAGGGACTTATCAATTATCTTGCAAATCCCATCTCATTCCATTTTAATGATGATGATGATGATGATGATGATGAAGAAGAAGATAACATGATCTAGCATTTATATAACACTTTAAAGTTGCAAAGTACTTTAAAATATGACCTCATTTTATCCTTACAACAGTCCTGGTACAGGTGTTGCTATTACTCTCATTTTACAGATGAGGAAACTGAGGCAAAGAGGGTTAAGTGGCTTACCCAGGGTCATACAGCTAGTAAGTGTGTGAGGCTAGATTTGAAATCAAGTCTGTCTTCCTGACTCCAGGTTCAGTCTTCTATCAACCATGTCACTTAGCACTTCAAAAACTGAGCTTCAGTTTTTTTGTCTTAAGTACTTTGAACTGTAAGCTTCCAGACCCCACTCTCTAATATATCCTCTACACAGTTACCAAAATAATCTTCCTAGAAACCAAATTTATGTCAACCCTTTCCTCCAGCAACTTCAGTGGCCTCCTATTGCCACTGGGACTGGGACTGAACTGCCATGAATTCAAACTCTACTGCAGAGAGTACCACTCTGATGGGCTAGGCACATTGTTCTGAATGCCAAACATATGTCTGCCTAAAAGACTATTTTATGGAGAGCTCACAAAAGGCAAGCACTCACATGGAGGTCTGAAGAAATGGTATGAGCACACTCCTGAGGTCTCTCTGAAGAATTTTAGTATCGATTATGAGATACGGGGAGATATTGGCAATGCACTGCCCAGCATGGCATCAGGACTGTTCAGCATGGCATGCTTTCATTAAAGAAAGCGCTGTGTTCTATGAGCAAGGCAGAACCCGATAGCACAAAGGAACAAGAAATTAAACCTATAGCCGTCTCCATCCCAAATGTTCATATGGACTATTTGTGCCTGACCTGTGGTAGTCTTCTAAGCTCTTACTGCTCTAAACAGCCATAGTCGGACACACTGTACTTTGACCCAAACATTGTGATGGCATTGATCCTCTCTGAGAATGAAGGATCAACAACAGGAACAGAATAAAATACAAAACCCTCCATCTAGCATTGAAACCCTTCACGTTATAGCTCCAGGTCATCTTTTAAAACTTCTTTCATAACGTTCCCCTTCCTGCAATCTGTGTTTAAGTACAGTGGGTATGTTTGCATTTTCCTGAGTTCCGCACTCCATTTTGCACCACTACATCTTTGCAGCATCGCCATGCCTTCAATGCTCTCCCTCCTCATGCCCCACCTCTTAGATTCTCTAGCTTCCTCTAAGCTTTGGCTTGTGAGGTCCACCATTTATAATATAACTCATTTTCAGTGTTTTCTTCCTTCTCATATTTTTGTTCATATGCTCATTTGTTTGCATGTTATATCCCACCAGTAGACTTTAAGCTTCTTGAGGGCAGGACATGTTTTTTTTTTCTTACATCAGTTTTGTCTTTATATATTCCCCAGGACCAAGCACACAGTGGTCACCTAGTAAATACGTCTTAAATTAGTGGAGATTGCCCAAAGCCACAGAGGTAATAAATAACAGGGCTAGCATTTGGTCCTTTTTCTATGAGCTCTTTCTTCTATCTTATACTTAAGGATCCAGGCTTCTGCTAGGCTTGGTTAACAGAGTCAAAGTTAATACTTTCCTTTTCCATCTACTTGTGGTATTTTCTCCCTTTCTATCAAAGAAACCAAAAACATAAATATTAAAGAAAACCATATTTATATAGGATATAAAAGCAGATGTAACAGAATCCTAGGCCAGGTAGGTGGCACAGTGTATGGAGAGCCAGGCCTGGAGTCAGGAAGACTCATTTCCCTGAGTCCAAATCCAGCCTCAGACACTTACTAGCTGTGTGACGCCGGGCAAGTCACTTAACCCTGTTTGCCTCAGTTTCCTCATCTGTAAAACGAGCTGGAGAAGGAAAAGGCAAACCACTCTGGTATCTTTGCCAAGAAAACTCTAAATGGAATGACAAATGAGTGGACACGACTGAAAAACTGAGCAAACAGGCACATTCTAAAACCTTACTTATCTTCAAGGGTTATCAATCACTGCATAATCTAGTTCAATCTTCAGATTTGAAGAGAACACTTTTTTTTTCTGACTTACCATAAACCCTCTTTAGCTTCCCTGTGACTTACCCTCAGCTCTAGGATCTCTGACCAGGTTTGCTCTCCCTTGCCCTCCACCCATATATGGCTCCCAAATACCTTAAGTAAACAGGTAACCTTGACATCCCCCCTACCCCCTCTGCTTTCATCTTATTAATGAATTTCTCAGGATTTTGTATAATTCAAGCGAGGTCTCATAGGGAGTTCAAGGCTCTGCCCTTGGCTTTCTTTTCAGACGGAAGCAGAGGCTTGTCTAGGAATACTTTCTATTCATCTTGAAAAAGGTCATATTCTTTGTACCTAAGATTGGGTCCCTGAACTCTCAGGACTCCTGTATTGTTTTCTGCCCAGGACAGAAGAAACAAAAAACACATATGCCTTCCACTTGCCAGTGTGACTCTCCTATTGACTGCCCTTTCCCCAGTTTGAAGGATGCCCCCCACCCCTAACCTGATGGCTTTTCATCCTTAGCCTTTTGAATTTACAAAGGTTTTTTTTTTTAAAAATATTGTTCCTAATATGTATATAATGACTTAATCTACAGAGTCTCTTAGCCTGGTAGTCTGGAGAACTGGTTTCTACAGTGGTACTGAGTGTCCCATCCTGTCAGGGCTGAGTTGGTGAAGAGATGGCTTTTCTGAGCTAGCTCCAGCTGCATTTCTGATACAGAACTTGTTCTGAAATGAGTACTTGAGAGCCCTAAATGTAGTACCCCAATGGGGATGATGTTCTAACAGTCATTTAAGTAGGAAAGAAAGAGAAGAGGCTGAAACTCAGGGAAAAAAAATCTACAAATCCAATAAACATCCTGTTAATGTTTCCATCTGCCAAGTGCCAAGAGCAAGTTTTCCTCTAGCCAGCCTCGAGTAAGTCTGCATTAACTTAATTTATGGCTTTCAAACCCTTGCCTCAGTTTCAAATAATGATTTCTCTCTTCTTCCTTTCCTGATCTTTGGTCTAAAGAAATGAGAAAATCTACAGAGGAATGCAAGACTCTTGGGCTTCTTTCCAAGCTGGCTTTTATCACCCCAGACTCTCCAGTTGCTTTACAGCAGACAGCCCTTCTCAGGCGGGGACTATTAGATCAGGGAAATAATACTGGCCTGGAGTCAAGTAGAAATTTAACCTATCTGGATTGCTTGATTTTTTAAAAAGTTTTATTTTCAAAACACCCTTTGTTTACATCATTCAGGCATTCTGCTCACAGATATTAATGAAGAACTCTTCTGTTCTTTAACAAGAATACTTTGGATTTATAGAACAGCTTTCTTACTAAGAGAGGCTGCAGATTACTTTTGAATGTACAAGAACCATTACATTTGAAGACCTAACTTCAGTCCTCCCCTCTTTTGTATTTTTGTTGTTTTTCAGTTGTTTCAGTTGTGTCTGACTCTTTGTGACTCCACTTTGGGATTTTCTTGGCAAAGATACCATTTCTTCCTCTAGTTCATTTTAAAGATGAGGAAACTGAAGCAAATAGGGTTAAGTGACTTGTCCAGGGTCACATAGCTAGTAAGTATCTGAGGACAGATTTGAACTTGAGTCTTCCCCTCTCCAGATTTGGCACTCTTATCCATTGTGCCACCTAGCTGCCCTCTCCTCTGTATACCCAATTTTCAAGTATGTGACCCTGGATACATTATTTAACCTCTCATAACCTCAGTTTCCTTATTTGGAAAATGGCATCATAATATTTCCACAACCTACCCCATTAGAATTATGGTAAAGAGAGTGTTTAGTAAATCTTAAAGTACCATATAAATATAAGCTTGTATTACCTAATTATCAATAATAGTAACAACAACAACAGGAATCACAGCAATTAGTCTAGATTTGTCATTTCTTTAGTGTAAGGAACTCCTAGGAAGGAGCTCACCACCTTCAAAACACAACTGCAGTTATTTTGCAGGCTTTGAGAGCTATGTAGAGCACTGTGACTTGCCCAGGGTCATAGAGCCAATATGGGTCAGAAGCGGGATTTGATCTCATCTTTCTGACTCAGAGGCCAACTCTCTATTCCCTCTACAACATGGCTCCCCTGCCACCACCTCCTCTTTCTCCTCAACAGCATCATGAAGAGGGCAGGGTATTTCTATAGTGCTTACTGCCTTTGATATTCCTATGTCTTCTTGGTTGGGGCAAAGGAAAACAATGGTAATCTCCCACGTGTCCTGAGGTTGGAGTCTTTTAGCAATCTACACATCCTTATGAGCCGGGATTCTGTGTTCTAAAGAAGCTATTCCAAACTCCATGCCATTATCTATTACCTAGGGTTAAAGTTCTAGATGCAGAGTTATAATTTGAATGGAATAGGAGGGAGGGGAGCAGAATGAGAAGCACCATCCTTGACTATCCCTTGATCCTTCCAGGTAACAATAACCTTTCCCTTCATATACCTAATGTAGCAGGTGGCATATCCTTCCTTCAGGAATTTGTTATCTAATTTTTAAAAAAAATTACAGTTCTTTATGCATGTCTCTATCCCACATACGTAGAAAGCTCCACAAGGCCAGAGATTTACATATCAGATGTTAATGTCTTTATGCCTCAATCCCCTCACCTGCAAAATCAGGGGTTTGGGAACACAAATTTCTAAGGTTCTTTCCTGCTCTATATCTACAATCCTATAATCCTAAGAAGTTAGGCAAGTTTGTGTTTTCAAATATTTTCATTATACCTAGTTGACATTTAAAAAAATAGTTTTGAGAGTTGAAATCTGTGTTCTAAATTTTTTTTACACTTGAAGATTTAAACTTTGGTTTATCTGGTAAAACCACATTTACAGAAGAGTTAACTCCCTGATGGTGATGGACAAATCACCCAGCATGATACCTCAGGTGGGTAAACTGAGGCAAAGCAATGCTAATATCATCTTTATTTGTCTCTGTGACCTCAGGCCTGCTAAAGTTTGCACTAAAGCCTTAACCTCCTGATTTCCGAAGACACTTTTTTTTTCTGCCACATGAGGCTGTGTCTATAGAGACAACTAAGACTGATTTCAAGATTCTAGGAGAGTCACTGACACTGATAAATGAGGTGATAAGTGATTCTCCTTAGTTGAATTAGACATTCGATGATGTTCCATATAATGTGGCCCCACTGTCATGCCAACCACAGCGTAAGGAAGAAGTTCCAAGTGCAAGTGATCATCTTCTGAGAAGGAAGACAAGCCTCCTAATTGATCTCCCTGCCTCAAATAGCTCCCAGGTCCAGTCCATCCTCCCCACTATGGCCAAAGTGATTTTCCTTAAGAATGAATTCAAACACTGCTCTACTTGAACAACCCGGGTGGCTTCCTACTGCTTCTGGGATCAAACAGTAAACAGCTTTGGATTTTTAAGCCCTATACCAATCCAACCTAACTGACCTTTTCTCTGTTTCTCACTCATGACAATCCATTTCCCATCTCCATGACTGGCTATCCCTTACAGCTGGGAACTTGGTGGCACAGTGGATAGAGTACCAGGTCTAGACTCAGGAAGACCTGAGCTCTAATCTGGCCTCAGGTACTTACTAGCTGTGTGACCTTGGGCAAGCCACTTCACCCTGTTTGCCTCAGCTTCCTCATCTGTAAAATGAGCTGGAGAAGGAAATGGCCAATCAGTGCAGTGTCTTTGCCAAGAAGACCCCAAATGGGACCATGAAGAGTCAGACAAGCCTGATAAACAACCGAATCACAACAACAAATGACTATCAGTGGAGTTTACTTGTTCCATGTCCATGAGAAGAGACGGAATTCGATGACCTTTGCGAGCTTTTCCAGCTTTCAGTCTATGATCCTCTGAGCTTTGCAAACCAGAAATGTAACAAGGGAAGGGAGAACTGAACTTAGCCATGGGGAGCCAAAATGTGCAGGGCACCTTTCCCTGAGAGGACACGGTGGTAAGCTGTCATTTCACTGAGATAATGCCACTTCCTTTCCTTTCACTCTCTTATCTCTATAGGCTGGCTTCCTGTCTTACCAATGCACTGAAACTGCTCCCTCCAAAGTCAGTCATCTCTTAATCACTAAATCAAATGGACTTTTCTCAATTCTCATTCTTCTTGATCTTTCTGAGGCCTTTGACCTGGCACATCATATTCTTCTCCTACTCTCTTTTTCTCTAGGTTTTCCACATCTATCTGTCTGTGTCTCTCTCCTGGCTCTCTTCCTACCTTTTGGACTGCTCCTTCTCAGTCTCCATTCCTGGATATCCAGTCAGGTCATGTTCACTGATGGTGGGTGTCACTCAATGCCCTGTGCTAGATGTTCTCTTCTCTCACTACACTATTTCCACAGGTGAACCCATTAGCTCCTGCAAATTCACTGATCATCTCTAAGCTGAGGATTCTCAGATCCCCTTATCCAGTTCTAACCTTCAGACTTCCATCTCAGCTGCCTCTTAAGCATTTCAACCTTGATATCTCACATACCCTTTAAGTTCAACATGTCCAAAACTGAACTCATTATCTTTCTCCTTGCCTCTTCCTATTTCTATTATCATGGAAGATCTCACCATCCTTCCAGTCACTCAGGTGGTCAATTACATGTCACCCTCCAATCCTCACTCTAGTGCATAATCTCATATGCAATTTGTTGCCAAGTCTTGTTGATTTGACTTTCATAACATTTCACATTCTCCTCTGACACTACCCCCCATCCTGTTGCAGGCTCTTATAATCTTATGCTGGATTATTGCAACAGCCTTCTGGTTGGTTTTCCTGTCTCAAATCTCTTCCCACTCCAGTCTATCATCCACTCAACTACCAAAATGATTTTCCTGACCATGGCAATCCCCATTCAATAAACTCTGATGGCTTCCTATCACCTCCAGAATCAACTATGGTATCCTCCATTTAGCATTCACACGCCTTTATAACTTAGCCCTAACCTTTTCAGTCTTCTTTTTGTCCCTTTGTGATCCAGTGACACTGGCTTCCTGGTTGTTCTTTGAACAACATGCTACATCTCCTTACTTCAGGAATCTTCCCCATGACTAGAATTCTCTTCCTCTTCATCTTGACTTTCTGACTTTCCTGGCTTCCTTTAAGTCCAAGCTAAAATCCTACTTTTTAAAAAAAAATTTAATTAATTTATTTTGATTTATCAACACTCACTTCCATATGCTTTTGAGTTTAAAATTTTTCTCCCCATTCCTCCCCACCACCCTCCCCAAGACGGCACACACTCTGATATAGGCTATACATTTACATTCCTATTAAACATATTTTTACATTGGTGAAGTTGTAAGTAAAAATTAAAACTAATAGAAGGAACCATCAGAAAGAGGAAATAAAACTCAACAGAAGAGGAAAAAAAAAAGGTATTACTATCTGTGTCTTTTTCTCCATCCTTTTCCCCCCATGCTTTTCTTTCTCCTTTCCCCTCCTCACTAGTGTTTTGCTTTTGACCACAGCCTCCTTCAGTCTCTCCTCCCTTCTATTATCCCTTTCCCTTTTCTTCCCCTTTACCCTTACTGCTTCTTCCCTCCCTTCTATCCTCCCTCCCTTGTCTTTTCCCTTTTCCTTCCTACTGCCTATAGGCAAGTTGGATTTCTATACCTAACTGATTATGTTATTCCCTTCTTGAGCCAAATCTGATGAGAGTAAGGTTCAAACAATGCTCACTCCCCCTCCCTTCTTTCCCTCTGCTATAATAGGATTTTCTGTCTTTTCCTGTAATGTAATTTACCCTTGTCTGCCTCCTCCTTTCTCAGTACATTTTCTAAGATCTGACTAATTCACTTACTTGGATCTATTTAACCCACTTGATTAGATTGTTTTTTTATCATTACATCAAACTCAACTAATATCCACCCCCTTTATGTATACTCCTTTAACATGGTGTAATAACAATACAGTTCTTAAGAGTTGCAAGTGTCATCTTCCCTTGTAGGGATGTAAACAGTCTGCCCTTATTAACAACATTTTGTATCTTTCTGTCCCATTTACCTTTTTATGTCTTTCTTGAATCTTGTACTTGAAGATCAAATTTTTTGTTGAGCTCTGGTCTTTTTATCAGGAAGGTTTGGAAGTCCCCTATTTCATTGAATATCCATCTCCTCCCTTGAAAAATCATGCTCATTTTTGCAGGGTAGTTGATCCTTGGCTGCAATCCAAGCTCCTTTGCCTTATGGAATATCATGTTCCACACCCTGCGGTCTTTTAATGTAGAAGCTGCAAGGTCCTGTGTAATCCTGACTGTGGTTCCATGATATTTAGATCATTTTCTTTCTGGCTGCTTGCAGCACCTTCTCTTTCATCTGGTAATTTTTGGAATTATGCTGTTATATTTGTTGGCATTTCCAATTTGGGATCTCTTTCAGGTGGTGAATGGTGTATTCTTTTTATGGTTATTTTACCTTCTGGTTCTAGGACTTCCAGGCAGTTTTCCTTTATTATTTCCTGAAAGATACTGTCCAGGCTCTTTTTTTCATCATGATTTCAGAGTCCAAATTTTTAAATTGTCTCTCCTGAATTGATTTTCCGAGTCGGTTGTTTTATCAATGAGGTATTTTATGTTTTCACCTATTTTTTTCATTTTTTTTTGTTTCTGTTTGACTGATTCTTGCTCTCTCATAGAGTCATTAGTTTCTGTTTTTCCAATTCTAGTTTTTAACAGATTGTTTTCTTCTTAGTTTTTGTACTTCCTTCTCCAATTGGCCAACTGTATATTTAAGGGATTTGTTTTCTTCAGTGTCTTTTTTTCCAGTTTTCCAATTGTGTTTTTTTGGGACTTGTTTTCTTCAGTGTACTTTTTTCCCAATTGGCCAATTGTATTTTTTAAGGACTCTTCTACCTCTCTCATTAGACTTTTAAAATCCTTCTTGAGCTCTTCTAAGAAGGCTTTTTGGGCTTCAGACCAGTTCATATTCCCTTTTCATGTTGCAGATGTGGGTTTGTTGACAATGTTGTGCTCTTCAGAATTTCTGTCTTGATCTTCACTCTTCTCATAATATGAATCTATGGTACATTTCTTTTTACTCATGGTTTCTTTATTCCCTGGCCTTTAAAGAGATTGAGCTCTCCTGCTGGGGAACAGAGGGCACTGACCCAAGCTTCTTGTGTTGGGAGCCTAGGTCTTGGTCACTGGCTTTGTGTGCTGGGGCCTCTTATGCTGGCAATTGGAGGCTGTAGGGTTCTGGCAGCTTACCTTGTGTTGGGCTGGAATCAGCAAGGCTGGAACTTTCAGGCAATTCTAGGTTGCCTGCTTTTCCTTTCCTTTAGCTTTCTTCAGCTCCTTTTAGATGGGTGCTGTAGGGTGTTTATCTGCCTGGGGCCCCTTGCAATGCTGCCTCCCTTGTTTCTGCTAATGCACTGGGAAATTCCTTTGTGGTAGAGTGCCGAGGCACCTGGCGGTTTTCTGAGCTGGTTTCCACCAGTTCCCCCT